GGAATGCTGTGAGGATTATTTCATGTCTGTGCCGCATTCTGTAAATGTAGAGGTAATGTAGCATCACCAGATTGTTGATAAATTATTAAAACTACCTCTTTTATCTAGCATCTTTGAATATACTGCAGATTTCCAGCTTTCAGAAACATCAGATCTTTATTGTCTATGTGTGTCCTGGTTTCAGCTGGGATAGAGTTAATTTTCTTCTGACTAGCTAGTATAAAGCTGTTTTTTGGATTTAGTATCAGAATAATGTCGGTAACACAGTGATATTTTTAGTTGTTTCTAAGTAGTTGTAGGGCTTATTCTACATCAAGGATTTTTCAGCTTCCCATACTTTGCCATGGTAAGGTGCACAACCAGCTAGGAGGGGGCATAGCCAGGACAGCTGACCATCTAAATAAATATTCCTTACTCAGCTAAGTCTACATCAGAGGGAAACTTGTGATGTCTTAGAGAATAAAAACAAGGAATTTGTACTGAAGTACCATTTAATGACTTTTTATATGCAGCAGCTCCCTGAGAAGAAAAGCAGGAACAAGACTTCCACTATTGGATCAGATATGGTGATGAAGGTCACATAAATGCCTCTCCAGTGATGGATCTCCCTATGCCACTGAAGAAATCCCCTGTTTAATAGGTCCTTTGGGTGCACAGCTAAATGCAATTCAGGAGTCTAGTAATGTTGAGCAATAATTCAGAGCTACATTCTAGGAATATTAAATGGTTTCTGAGTTTAGCCTTGTTTCTTAAGGCAAGGATGTTTATTGGATCCATCTGTGTCTTCCTATATTTTATATGTCCTTGCCAATAGCTTTTGAATTTTGTGGTCAGTCAGAGAAATTTCAAGACTGCTTAACACTACATCCATCGTGCTCTGTGAGAATAGATGGTAGGAGAGAGGTGAGATCCTAACAGTGTCCTCAATATGAGCTCACGCCCATAATAGACACTAGGGAGTCCATCTGAAGGGGTAATTTATGAAAAACCCAGTTATGGAAGAAGATTCAGTACATGACTACAGTTTGTTAGATGTCGGGGAAGCCAGTCATAAGACAAATGTAAACAAGGCTTTATTAGTTTTGCTAATCACAGAACAATGTGTTTTTTAATTACCAGGGATAACTGCAGTGTTAAAATTTGGGCTACAGACACAAACATTTCTGTGATGCTGAATGATGTCACAGTGAGGCAGAGTAAAAGCTGTGCATACCATTTGTAGTGACTGATTGCCTTGACAGTAATAATATCATTTAACGCACTTTATACTTGCAAAGCCCATTACCACCACTAATTAATTCTTAGAACACCCGTAAGGGGTGCCAGTTGAGAGATAAGTTATAGTATTACTGTTTTAATGCTGGGAATGCTGAAACAGATCACTGAGTGGTGATAGTGCTTGGAGTAGAATTCAAGTAAGAAGCCTTCATCTACTGTCAAACTAAGACCTTGCTGAAGATGAAAACTGGCTGCTACATTAAAGCTATATTTAAAGATAACCAAAGATTCATGGTATTTTAAATATTGTTGTAGTATTACTGGGCGGATACAAAAAACACCCGGTTAGTATGGATGCACAAGTGTGACATGGCTTACAACTGATGCCATGTCTGTACTAACCCTTAAATGTCATTTCACTACTGCCGACTTCTGCAGTCGTTGTTGGGATGTTCCAATGAAGTCACCAAAAGCCAACACTGACCAACCGTAACTAGTCCTCATTGCAGGAATAAGTAGCAGTAGAGTTTCTTTTACATTTCTGTGCAAATCTGTGCAGGGTAGAGCTGGGAGTAAAAACTTCTATCCTCTGGGAAATCTGCAGATTGCAAGTGAAGCCACCTTGCTCCTTCATGCCTCTAATAGTTTCTCAAATCCTCTCAGCTCAGGAGGGGATCCACTCAACTTCAATTTGCAAGGGATTTTGTAGCATATGGCAGTCTAGTCCCTACTCCTTCACTTTACCAGGGAATGGAGATCTTGGGGAAAATAACATACCTTTTAGGGAAAGCAGCTACTTACTTCCCTAGGCTTTCCTGATTGCCTGCTTGTCTTGCTGTGATGTTTGTGCACGCTTGGGTTTCAGTCAAAAACTTCCAGCCATGTACTGGAAATACTCTTTAAGATTTTCTCATTGTTTGTTTTGTAACATTCTTGGCTACAACTTTTGTGGTCTACTCCATCTATTACATAGCATCCCAAAATGAATAAACTGATCTAACTGTACCTTTCCTAAGATATTTGTTAAATAATAGCATTTAGAAGTACACAGTGTAAATTAAATCTTAATTTTAATGAGGTGTTCATGGCATCCCTAAATAAAATCCATTTGTATATATATTTCAGCCAAGTTCATCTCTTTACTTTCTCTTACGTATAGTACTTGTAGTTTTGTCCCTGGTAAATACTATGTGGCATGGCCTGTTATTCCACAGAGTGTTGCAGGTTGTTTGTATCCTGCCCTTTATGCAGTTAAGCAAGTGTACGGAAGTTGAGCACGATGATTTAGACAGCAGTACAAATCCGTGTAGCTTGTGTATCACTCACGTTTTATATTTTATTATTATTTTTACAGTGAATGCCATAACTCTACAGACAGAATTAAAGTCAGAGTATGGGATGAAGATGACGACATCAAATCTAGAGTAAAACAACACTTCAAAAAGGAATCGGATGACTTCCTCGGGCAAACAATCATTGAAGTAAGAACACTGAGTGGAGAAATGGATGTATGGTACAATTTAGGTATGATTCTTACTGTTTTTTTAAAACAAATTTAGGCAGAATCTCAGCACCTTTATATTTGGAACTTCAAAATATATAGCTTTGGTATCAATATACAGCTTCTAAAATCTTAAATATTACAGGCTGATTTGAAAGTGAAAGATGCTTTCTTGGTTTTGAGCCAGTTACTACAGTTACAGAAAGCAGACTAATCACAACAATATCAAAGAAAAATATTTCATTTTAATGCAAAATTAAAAATATGTAAGAAAACTCAACATTTCAGACCAGTCCATTCACACTAGCTACAAAGATACATAGAAAAATCTAGAACATATTTTGCTCGTTGTCCACATTAATTTTGTTGCATATTTTAAAATATTTTTATGTATCATTCTGGGCCTAATCTTCTTTGGTTTTCACTGTGTTTGCTCCTGCAGTTCTTTGTGAAAATTGCTTGCTGGAGTTTTCTGTTCTGTGCATTTTAAAAGTGTTTACATGCAGAGCCATAAACTGAAGACAACCTGCTGAAGCTCAAAATTCTCTCTGTTGTCCTTAATGACTACCCTTTTCTTGTCTGGTCAGGTCTTAAAAAGTATCATTCTTTAAACCAGGCATAAATCAATGAAAGTGTGTATCAATATATTTCCTTTATCTAAATCTAAGCATACAACTGTTCTTTAATTCTGAAAACCTATATAGGCACACCAAATGTTCTGGAGCAGCCCTCTAAAAGTTAATCTACATTTGACAATAAAAATGTGAGAGTGACATTTTTATCGAGGTTACTTGCACTGTGAAAACTTAGGGTGAATTATGTGACACAATTTTTGAAATGACAGAGCATTTGTCTCCCAATCATCAGTCTTTGTTTAGCTGTCTAGTACTTCATTTCCCAGTGACATGTATAGCTGTGTCGGGGAACTATTTAATTTCTTATTGACAATGAAAAGAAAGCCTTGTTTTACTTCCTATTTATAACAAGATTTTTCAAATGTACAATAGTTCAGTCATCATGAATTCTGATTTTTATTCCTTCAAAAATTTCAGTGTCTTAAACTGATATAAATTATTATGAAATGGATTTTTAAAACAAATCTTACTGAACTAATTTGACTGGAAGTAGTTCAATAATAGCATTGAAAATCTGTATGCTCTGCAAAAGGAAGAATCTAGAATGAAAACCTTCCAATCAGCATCTAAAAAGAAATATTGGTAAATGTCTTGTGATAATTCTAGCATTCTATGAGGAATGGCATACTTGATTCTGATACATACACGCACTGACAGAACTGCAGCATGTCACATCACACACAGAGGAATGTAATACTGAAACAAAAAAATTGGATTTGTGAAATACCAATTCTTAATAGTACTGTTCATCACCACTCACATCACAGCACATTGTGAAAAAATCATAAAAAGTGTTAAATAAAGGCTGTGCAGGCTGATTTGAATTTAGCAGATAAGGAAGATTCTTTACTTCATAGTTTGATACTCTGCTTCATGGCCTGAGCCGTATGTGAGGTATTAAAAAAAAGCTCTTGTTCTCAACAGCAAAACTTTAGTGGCTTAAAAAAAAAAAAAATCTTATTAAGCTAAAATGATTTATGAAAGCTTTTCACATGACATACGTATTCTTTGTAGTTACTAACATATTATTTTTCTGCTCTTCAGAAAAGCGAACAGATAAATCGGCTGTGTCTGGTGCCATTAGATTGAAAATAAATGTTGAAATAAAAGGAGAGGAGAAAGTGGCTCCCTATCACGTTCAGTACACCTGTCTACATGAGGTATGTTGGAGAAGTTAAAGAAAGCGTACTATACAGAAATTACTATTTGGCTGTTGTGTGAAAAAGGCTACAGCACATTAAAACACTGAAACAGATAACTGCCGCTACATCTCAGTACAGCTTTATTTTAGATTTCCCACTTTTTATTGCTGATGGCATATCAGATTTGGAGTCAAAGGCAGAAC